AGCCCCCAGCTTCAGCGGCAAACGTGTGATCCCTTCAGGGCCATGGTGCCTTCCTTTGCCTCTTGATCTCAGTGGGTTGGAGGTCCCCACTCTGGGTGGGTCTTCGGAGCCTAGTGCCTGGGGCGGCTTTTGTAGGACACATTGAAAGGATGATGCAGTTTAGGATGGTGGGGCCATGATGGCAAGACAGCTGCCAAGATGCAAGGTGTTTGGGTGGTGGAAGTGGGGAGGTAGTGTCTCAGAGCCCTGGGTTCTGGTTGGCCTCTTGTGACTCGTGCATCCACGGGTACAGGCAAGGGGATCTTTGAAGACCAAACAGGTACTCACTCCTGGGTCCAAGGGCTTCCCACTGCTTTAACCTCCTTGAGCGCTGCCAGTGCTACTTCTGGGATCACTTCATCACTCATCCTGTAACCCCAGTGGCTTCAGATGGGATGCAGGAAGAGCTGGGCTTCTCTGTCTGCTGCAAGTTGCACCGATTTCAGAGCTCCCTGCCCGCTCCCTCACTGATACCCAAGGTCTCTCCTGCATAAGCTTGGCTCTAAACTAAAGACTGAGCAAGGGGCATGTGGAGCCTCCAGTGGCACTAGAGACCCATCACTGATTTCAGTAATGCTTTTGTCAGTCCCATGACCCTACCTGCTGGATACCTGGGCACTTACCGTTAGGGCTGACCCTCCATTTGCAGTGGGTGGCTTAACCCCTGCCTGCGCAATGACCCTGTCAGGACTTCCTGGGCCACAGACAGTTTCATTCTGTTTTCATACAGCGCTGAGCAAATACTCAGTCTCTAGGCATAGGAGCAGTAAAATAGGCACCATGTGAACCACAGGTCTGAAAAGTCTTGCTGCCAGGTCTCCATGCCTTGCAGGGTTAACCGAGATGTAAATGGTACCTAAGCCTCTTGCTGGTCCTCCGAATGGGATGGCTTTCCCAGCCCAGCCCAGCCCACATGAAGCAAACTGATGCCACCCACTTAGGGCTTTACACATGGGGCCAGACCCTGTGGCATGCTCAGCCCTTGCCTCCCCTGCTTTCTCTGGTGCGGCTCAGGGCCCTTCTGGGATTTGCTTGCGAGCGGCTTGGAGTCCTTGGAACTGTTGCCTTTCCCTCTAGAACAGACCACGGCCGCCCGGTCCTGCCTTCCTAGTCTGCTTGTGGGCAGTCCCATCCTGACTGGCCAGACAGGAGCTCCAAAGGGTCTTTGGTACAGTAATGCTGGGAGCTGCTCCCCTGGACAATGCCACATGCCCCGCTGGCTCCATCGGCTTCCAGCTTGGCCCCAAGAACCAGCTGCAGAGTGTCGAGGCCCATCCTTCCCATGTAAATAAACAGCTATAAATAAGGAGAGAGCCAGAGGTGTGAAAACTGCCAGGAGCGGATTTCAGAAAACCAACAAATTAGTCTGGAAAAACAAAGGTTATGAACTGACATCCCTTCTCCAAGCCAAGGGACAGAGCCTCCCTTTCCTGATGAATGATGAGGGGTCAGAGCTGCGCACCAGGAGCAGGGCTGGGCTGACTCCATCTATCACGGGCTAAAGATCTCCCCTGCTGCCTCCTGGCTCTGGTTGCACTAATACACTGCAGTCATGTTCTGAGAATAGGGACAAGAACCCAAGTGAACATGCAAAGAGGAGCCGGCTTCTGGGAAAGAAGTTCTCCGAGTGATGCTGCAACAGGCTATTGTGGTGCTAATGATGTGTGCCAGTATCAATAAAGCATCAGCACTCTTCTGGCTCCCCCCTATCTTGTGCCTTGGAATTTCTCGCTGCACGTTTGGCTTCTCCTTTGGAAGCGTGGTGTTTACGTCGCCGAAGCAGGCTTGGGAACAGTTGCTAGGAAAGACGCTGGATAAGACTGGAACATCTGATCGGCTACTGTTGTAAGTCCGGGGCCTTTTGTACAGTCCTGAAGACAGTAGGCACGCAGGGCAGTGCCAAGGCAGGAAGAGGACTAAAGGCATTATGTATTTCACAGCCGACAGCCTGGCCCTCCAAAGTGCAGAGCATCCCTGACCCTGTGCAAAGTCCTTCACCTCCTGAAATCGGAGTCCAGGGCTGCTGACAGCCCAATGCCCTCCAGTAGCATGAACTGTCCCTGTAAAACATGTGCACAAAGCACTTCCATCCCATGCTGCCCTGGCCACTAAGCTGAATCAGTAGAGTGTGGAGGGTAGGAAAAGGAGACAAGAAACCCTTGCAGAAAGCTAAATCACTCCAGGCCTGACCTGAAGCTACTGAGGTCGATAGAGAGAGCCCCATCGACCATGATAAGCTGTGGATCAGCCCCTCGGTGCTGGAGACGAGCATATTTGCAAGCTTTCACTTCAGCCCTTGGGACAAAGAGCTGAGTCAGACTTTTATAAGGGCTCGGATTTTGCTGGGAAAGCAAATGGCCTAGAAGTTTATGCAAACTTGGGTTAGGCTGGGAGGAAGCCTCTGTCAGTCTCTGCTGGCCTGGGGGTCTCTTTCTATAGAGCCAGCATCAGGCCACAGGGGTGCTCGGGTCCCAAGGAGCAGGATTAGCAGCAGCAGAAAATACGTCGTACTCGCCCCATCCTGCCTGATGAATCTTTCAGCGCTCAAAATGCAATGACAAGTCTCCTGGAAGGAACTTTTCGTTGCCCATTTCCAGCATCACAAGAGGGGGAAAAAACAAAGCTGGGAGAACAGCCTCTGCAATGCAAACCTGATTGCAAGGTGTCCGCGTGCCCAGCACGGGCACTGCAACCACCGGGCGGAAAGCTGGTGTTCAGACCAGGGCAGGGAGCTGCAGTCGTGCTCCTCCCAGGCTGGGTGAGGGGCTCCCCAAGCCTGTCTTCTCACTGCTTCCCCCTGACTTCTCCCGACTCCCTTCAGCTGCCACAGTTGTTCTGTGAGGAAGATCACTGACCCGCTTAAGGGTGTGGGCAAAGGAAGGCAAGTCAGTCTACGGGCTCCAGCATGCTTAGGGTCAGGGTTGGAGGGAGCAGAGGATACGGGCGTCTCCTCATGGACCTACTTCCCTTCTCTTCCACCAAGTGTGCAAAGGGGCGTGGCCCCTCGTGAGATGCCTGCCTCTCCACCACACACCTCTCTGCTTCCCTTCCTGCTCCTTTTATTTCCCTCGATCAGGTTGTTTGTACTGCAGTCATGCCTAGGGGAACCTCTGTGCGCTAGGAGCTGTACATGCATCTAGCGAGAGAGAGTTCGTGCCCTGGAGAGCTTAAAATCTAAACAAGCAAGAGGGACAAAGGGTGTCGGAAGGGACGGGCTGTCATCTCCCTTTCCTAGCCAGGGCACTGAGATGGAGAGAGGAAGAGAAGGGTTTTTGCTCAGTCCCTACTGAAGCAGTCAGGTCCTCCAGAGACACGGCTCTTCTGACACTGCCCAGGAAGGAGCCGCGGGGTGCCGAGCGCACCTGCAAAGCCTGGCTGGAGGTGACTTGCCTCCTGGGGGCAGAGCCAAGAGCTGCCTCAGTCGCCCCTCTCCAGTCCATAACTGCTGCCCTGATCTCTGCCCAACGTGACGTTGTGCAGCCGAAGGTGCCATCCCAGCTCGCTGGGCAAGGCCACGTTGGCAGACACCGGGGTCCGAGTCGGAGCGCGAGCCCGGGGGAGATTTTGGGAGGGGGCAGGGGCTGGGCCAGAGCAGCGCACACAGTCCCTTCTCCTGGGCACTTCTCCCTCTCCGCTCGCTGCAGCCCCCACTGCCTGGGGGCCCTGCCAGCCCCTTCCCCCCGACTCTCCAGGAGGGGCAGAGGGGCAGGCAGAAGCAGCTAGGCCCCTACACTGGGGTGGGGGAGCTGGTGGGGGCCTGTGCTGGCACCAAGGAGGTGGGCAGCAGTGCCCAAGCCCGGGAGTCTGCCATGCAGTGGGGGGACCCCCCCCCATGCAGTATGCAGTGAGGGGGGAGACACCCGTGCAGTGCAGGGAGGGGAACCCCCAGGCCCATGCAGTGCAGGGAGGGAAGACACCCGTGCAGTGTGGTGAGGGGGGCCCTCTGGGCCCCCACGCAGTGCGGGGAAGGGATGACACCCATGCAGTGCAAGAAGAGGTGCCCCCCCGGCACATGCAGTGCGGGGAGGGGTGGGTGATACTCATGCAGTGCGGCGAGGGGCGCCCCCGGGGCCCCGTGCAGTGCAGGGAGGGGGCCACCCGTGCAGTGCGGTGAGGGGAGCGGGGACACCCGTGCAGCGCGG